AAGAGCAGTCAGTCCCCACAGAGGTCTGTAGCCAGCACTTGCTTCCCAACTTTTCAAAAGAGCATTGCTCAACCTCATCAGGGAACAAAAGGCTTTGCTGAATTTGACATTTTCCTCTCAAATTGAACCGACTGAAGAATTGAAATGTCTGCAATCCTTCTTTGCAGGATCTGCCCAGATTATAGGAAAAGATACCAGAGACACTTCCAGGAGTTTCATATTTTACTTCCTAATCTACAGGACCCTCTGACTCTATGAACTGAGCTTCATTCTCTTGATTCCAAATGAGCATGACAAGAAACCATCTTTAGTTTCCCCTCACAGCTTCCACTTAGTACAGACTGACTTTTCTTTACTAATAGCAGTGAAAAAAACAGAATATGGAAAACATTCTACATCTGACTGGACATTTTCCTACATAATGCTTTCAGCAAAAAACAGCTTGTTGAAGAAAAAACTTTTCCAAATTTATCAATTAACTGCATCTAAGATACAAATTCCAGTCAGAGAAAGGCAGTGACAGACCCTGAAAGGTACTGGCTAGACCTGGATGTTAGAAATCAATATTCAAATTTTTCTTCTGCCCACTTCAGCCAACAAACGCAAGCCTGATACTTGCACATCTCAGCTGAGGACTCTGACAAGCAGCTATTCCACCCTGGCATGATCCCCAAGAGCTTTTGTTTGGTTAAGCTTCTATGAACTCACAGACTGGGTGAAGGAGTGAGTCCAGAAGCTGCCCAGGCAAGACGTAGCCACCTGGGAGGTATTTGATCCAGCTTCAAATTTCTGCACCGATGAATATTGAATTATTTATACAAAGTAAATCGGCTCCAGCAGAGCAGCCTGTCACAGAACAGCCCCTGTAACAGCGTAACCTGGCATATGCAGAGGATGATGGAGGACAACAGTGTAATAATTTGAGGATTCGAGTTCTTAACAGTTCTACTCCTTTTACCTTCTCTGCATTTTCATAAAAATCTAAGATCAAGGGTTTATATAATTACCAAGCAACTTAATTTTGTAATCAAACATTTTTCTGTGCTCCTAGAGTTTGGGATTTCACTTCCTTTGGCCTTCCCCACGATGAAAATCAGACAGCTTCACACTCACAAGCCAACCCAAAAAATCAGGTTCAGTTATCAATGCACCTACCTGCTGAGAAGGCCAAGAAGGCCTCTGGGATTACAAAATTTCCATCCTTGTTCAAGAAGTGACCAGGGTTGAACTGGTGAGGGGTCTCCCAGTACTCAGGATCAAAGAGAGTCGAGTCTATGTTTGCCGTAATTATAGTGCCCTGAAAGGAAGATGCTGTTGCCTCAGTTCTGCCTCTCACACACCAAGAAGAAAAGAACAAAAACAGATTCCATCTATAATTCAGCATACTGCTGGTCACAGGGAGAAGCAGTAGAAATGAAAGATTATTTTATTCAGAAAAAAAAATAATATTCTCAAACTGTTCTGAGGTTTTGGTTTTGTTTGTATTTTTTTCTTAAAAAAATTAATAAGAAAAGAAACTTTGGTATTTCAGGTTCAGGAATTTTCCTGCTGTATCCCTTCATGTCTCCTTTTTTTCTGTTCTGTTGGCAAATACAATAAAATTAGTGGTCCACAGCTCTTTAGCACCATGTCCTAAATCTAGTTAATTATTTTCCCACTTCTGACAAGCTTTGATGCATTTTGACAGATGAAGAACATTGTAGCATCCTGGAAATGAAATAGTGTATTTCAAATGATCTTTCTCAAGAGGGAGATGGGAAAGGTGTGCATGACAAACACTGTGGAGCAGGGGTATGCAGGAAGATTCCTCCACATGTGCCCCTGGGGAGGCATTGAGGTTCAGTTTGGAAAGGCTGGAGAAGTCAAAGAAACTGGCAGAAGCCTTTTATGTGAGGTTAGGTAGCAATTCAGAAGCTGGGGGGAAACATCTTCATTACATTCCAAATATGAAGCCAGGTAATAATAAGAAAAAATTGAGTAGATGCTTGATATTGTCTCAGTCATCACCAATAAATAAAACATTCCACCTCTCAATTTTCCACATGGCAGACGATACCCTGGCATTAACAGTCTGCACCTTCCCTACTAACACCACTGCACATTTCTGGTAAAAGTCTTCTCTGAGATCTTTGGAAAGTATAAGAGCTCAAATGCTAATAAAGTATTTCAAAACCACAGGCTCTTGGAAAGTAAGGCTGCAGCACTCTCACAGAACGCTGGTTTAATTGCTGTGAAACTCTGCTTTTGGCCAGCATTTCCACTCACTGTCTACAAGACAAAGGCACAGGCCAGAGGGCAGGGGAGGGGGAAAGTGCCATCACCAGCACCCATCTGTCTCAAACTGGGGGACAAACCAAAAGGGGTTAATGGTAAACATGACTGCAAGGAACTTAACTCATGCTCAAAGATCACAGTGGAATAGAAAGGATATCTGTACCTTTGGAAGCTGATACCCCAAAACAGTCGTATCCTTCACAGCTTCTCTAGGAATTGTGACTAAAATAATGCTGCCAAAGCGCATGATCTCATGAATCACAGCATTTGTATAAGGCAGTTTCTTCCGACTCATAGCAGATTAGATGGGAGGGACTCAGAACAGCATCTAGCTCCTTCTGGACTTTCTCTACCAAAAAAACCCCAACATTACCTTATAGATAGAACAACACTGTTTTACATGAAACAGAGGTTTCACTTTCTTTTAGTATTACAGTACTTATAGAAAAAAATACAATACGTAAATAATCTATACCTACTATATCTTAAAATATAAATACATTAGTGACAACAACAACAACAACAATAATAATAATATCACCACCAAACCATCACTTACAGTTAATCTCTTTAGGCTGTTATCTAGGCTCCAGTAAAAACATAGCTTATACAGTTTCGGATAGTACAGGGTCAAATTTCATGCTGAAAAATTAGTCTAATAGTTTAAGAGGTTTTGTTTGCTTTTTATTTCATCAGAATTTGAAAGGTATTGGTGTGCACTCTGTTCTTCCAGCATTCTAGCACCAAAAGCACAAAAATGAAGGAGTTCTGGCTCTAAACCCAAGAATCAAGCACATGTACGTGGCTTAGTAATTCATCATCTCTGAAAGCCTTGTATCAAATAATTCAAAAGTTTTGAAAGTAGTTTGCATCTATGCCCTTGTCTAGAATTTTCCAGTCATCTTTTTGTCCTCCTTCTCTGCTTAATATTTCCATACCTTACAATAAATATATTTATTACATAGAAATACAACTAGTGTCTCAGTTTATGAGCCCATTTAATATATTCTTATTACACATTTTGGATACCAGAAAAGCACCGCATTTCTCTAACCCAAGCTTATATTTCACCTTGATTGTTTTCAGCTGGATCTAATCTTCCATTACATGCTTACAGTACTGAAAGAGCTTGACAAAAATCAACAAGATAAAATTCAGCATCACAAGTTGAATATTCCTCAAATTATCTTAAAATCTCTCACTTAAAATCTTCTACCTCACTGGCTTCTTAAAAGCAAAGCTCAAAAATATGATCTTGAGGGAAAAAAAAAAAGAAGAAAAAAAGGCAGCTTGATCTCCAAAACATTTTGATCTCAACAGAAAAAAAAAAAAGTGCAATGGACAGTTGTTCTACTTGAAACACACCCGTGTTTGTGTCTACAACTCACCTTGGATGTCCGGATAAGCGACCATATAGAGCAGAGCCCAACGCAGGGTGGTGGCCGTGGTCTCTGAGCCACCCAGGAAAAGGTCAAAAACAGACTGCACCATGTTATCCTCATCAAATGTAGAACCAGGGATATTTTTAGTCTACACATATCAAAGAGAAAGATAAAATGGAGTAATACCTGTGTAACAGCACTGAGATCACGCTACTGAAACAAACGATATTTCTAAAGGAAGGAGAAAACACAGGTACTTGAGTTAAAAAAAAAAAATGTAAGCAAAGATTTTCCTCAAATAAGTACCTTGTTACTGCTAAATTACAGGTACTGTTGAAAGTGTCACATGCCTAAGGTCCCGTTATGCTGCCTTCTGGAGTGACTTGTTGCCTTGCTGCTGACTTCCACATCAGAAAAAAACCATTTCAAAGTAGTTTTATCCCACCCTTGCCCCTCTCTGCACATTTGCTGATTTCAGCTATTGCATATATAGTATGCTATTCTTTTTAAAGATTTATGCTTTTTTCTTCAGAGCAGAGACTGCAGCATTTAAAGATTGCTACGACAATCATACAGTACTACTAAGCACTGAAAAGCTCGGTACAAAGAATATTAATTAATGCAAATATTAATAAAGCACAGAGAACCAGAATACCCATCCAAATACCCACACTTTTTCTAACTCCTCCCTACCACCCACTGCCCAGCCTGCACTAAGGATTCCACAGTGTGACAACAAACCAATGTGATGAACTTACACTTCTAAAACAAGTTATTAAACTGACTATTCCTATTTCAATTTGAGAGTAATTTTTTTTAACGGTATCTGTAGAGCTCTAATAACGTTGCTACGTATAGACAATTGTAGAAAAGGTGCAGGGAAACCAGTAGGACAGGATCTGTGGCACATACAGCAGAAATTACTCACTTTCTCTATCTGATTGAGGTAAAAGTCAATGAAATCTGGTTCATCTATTGTGCCTCTTAAAAAAAAGATCTCCTGCCTTACAAAAGAACGAACAAATTCACAAGCAGATAACGCTTTCTGTGCAGGTTTTAGGAAGTGCTCTGCAACCCATGGGAAAACTTCACTGATCTGTGGAGCAAGCATTCAACACGTTAGTAACTGAAAACGGTGAGTTATGCCACGTGAGCAAGGCTGTTATATAGTGTGGGCTAATCTGCTGTATTAATTTCTCTAGGAAAAATGCTGTAGCCTCAAAGAGAAACGTTGGGTACATATTGAGTACATGATCACACATTAAAACCACAAAATAAAGACAAGATAATCCCCACCCTGGATTCTTTCCTATCCTCACTGCATAACTCTGCCTATATTTGCTGTGTTAACTCACCAACAAAAGAATCCATTTTTGCAGACGGATTTAACTTTAATAACTCTCTATATATTACTTTCGGACACAGAAGAAAAAAAAAAAATCACTCTTTGACTGTGATACAAAGAGTATCACCTTTTCACCTTAACAACACTGGTATTTCCATCACAGAAAAGTTCAGCATCCCAAGCACATCACCTTTTCTGAGAAATTGTAATAAGGATTATTAACATAATCGCAATATAATAGTTGAATGATGTCAAACTCAAAGCATTGCGGGTCCAGTTCATATTGATAGTGAGAATTTTCAACAGCATTTAGTGTGCATTAAACAATGCAATAACCATAATAACAATATAATTCATAACAGTTCAGTAAATAATGTACAATAATGTGTAATAATAGAATATTTTTCATATTTAATAAGTAGTTTTCTCACATAGTAAAAGTAGCTGCTCCCAAATGCCACTACACAATTGAATGCTTCGATCAGCTGGCGGAAGGTTTCATCCTCTAGGGAGAAACGATGTCCAAAAACCACAGCACAAATGACATTAGAGACAGCATGAACGATGGGGAAGGAAGGGTCCACAGCTCTCCCTGCAGACAGAGATAAGCAATCACCTCCAAAGCACGCACTTAATCTCCTTTGCTATAGTAAATGTCCTGTATGCTATTTAGACTGTTACGGTGAAACACTCAAAATTCACTGGCTAATTTAACAACAGATAAACCTCATTCAAAACTGAGAAGAGTCTTTAACTCCCAGTCTTGGGTTTTGGTTTGCCTTCTTTTTTCTTTTTTCTGGTGTTGATACCAGAATACACATTTCTGAGCTCTGACTGATAAACAGTTCGGATTGCACCGTAAATCTAAGCTCACGCTCCAAAGCCTTTATTTTCTGGAGCCATTATTTTCTTTGCCCTCAAGAGTCATACAATGTGCTATATCAAAAGCCCAAAGTGCAGTTCTCCAGCACCCTGTTGATGGCCTACCGTCTTTGTCCCTGAAGAACTCGACCAGGTAACGGGCCTCGGCTTGTATCCCACACTCCATTCCTTTATTCCCCATTCCCAGTTTTCGGAGAGTTCCAATTCCAAAATGTCTCTGATGTTTCCAGGTGAGACCGTTTGAGAGCAGGATACCTTCAGCCATCAAGAGAACTTTGTGTCACATGAACGTTTATGGAATAATAAATGATATACAGACTAAGAGTGATCTTCTCATCACACTGCCACTCAGAGAAGAAAGCCCCATCAGGGCAGTGCTCTTTTACTGGTATTTTGTTAGAGAAGCCATCTTGGTTAATATAGTCCCATCTTTGCAAAAAGCCCACTCAAATCTCAGGACTCATACATTTGACTTCCAAAATTAGTCCTATTCTTTCTGAAGTGTCTGAGAACAGGTCATTACTTGAAACTCCACCCAACAGCCTGCTACAAGTTGCAATGACATTGGGGTTGGTCTTGCCTTTCATTTGCCCATGCTTTGAGCAGAAATTAATCTAAACCCTTATTCATACAGAAAGGCTTATAGCCCAGCTCATGCAATCTTTTACAAGATCTCATTATCTTGTACAGTTTTCTAATACAACTTCTAAGACAACTTGCCTCAGCAAACGGTAAGTTCAGGTTTCTACCTCCTAGGAATCCAATGGTTTCTCTCACCAAGCTACTTGCAGCCAACAGAGATTTTTGTGGAGCTCGTTGGGGATGTCTGTGCATTTCCTGTGCTTGTGCTTCTTAACTTGATGCAAACGTTCTGGACATTATCACATCTCCCTTTTGGCAGTACTTTAAAAAGAAAAACTCTTGAACGACTACAGTGGATAACTGGTTCTGAGCACAGGTTATCTGTGTCTCTGGCTTTTATCAGGCTGTTTAAACCAGATATCAAGCTCTTGCCCTGTCCGTGTTCCTCCTGGAAAGACAATGAAGCCAGAGCAGGAACTGGCACCTAGCAAGAACCAGAGTAGGAAGAGCAGGCTTTAGCCAATCTACAAACAGCTTCCAAGGACTAGAGGTCTCCCTGGGGGACAGAAAGGAATCTCAGGCCCCAGCGCTGTGAGCTTGTGTCCTAGCAGACAGCCCAGCACAAATCCCTTAATCGACATGGTGAGGAATCATTTTCCTCCGCCAGCTTAGCCCAAGCTTCCCCTGGGAAAGCCAGCTTGCTCCCTAAGACAGCTGCTTGACCAGAGACTGGAATAGCTCTCCCTTATTCCTTCTGTTGTCCTGAAAGCCTGCGCTAGTAGAAAAGGAGCCAGTCCAACAGGCAGGTATCTGTGTTGCAGAGTTGCCAACCTGCAGCTGCTTGTTAAAGCCATCCCTGCTGCAAACTGCTACTGCAGCTTGTCACAGCCCAACTGCTTTACTCCACATCATCCAAATAAACGGTGGCAATAAAGACCCTTCCAAATTGACTGAAATGGTCTCAAATTTAATCATCTCTATTCCTTAAAGATGTTTTTCTCTACATTACATTAGCTGGTAGTATAAATTAAAGCTTTCCAGATTGTAATCCACGTGCACAATAAGCAGCTCTGAACAAGGATATGTTGCGCCTACAGCCTGGCTAATACATTTAAAGTTCCACTGACCTTCTTGTGCCTTCGGACTTCCCAAAAAGCTAGACTTTGTTCAACAGCTCTGCACATGCTTTGCTTGCAGCAGCCTTTGCTGTAAGCAAACAGCTGGGAGCATAAAGAATTACTTTAGTCTCAACTTGCAGAGGAGGCTGCAAGCTCCAGATTATATCAAATCAGGACACACATATAGACAACACTACAAATCACCTAGCTAGGTAGAAATATTGCTGCTCTGGTAAGATTTTGAAATACAGGTGTGACAGTGGGACTTTGGAGACAGAGTAATGCTGCAGGATGATATCCCTCACCCTGAGCAGACAGAATGTGTGAATTGGGAACTAAGGGCCTATCAGTAAGGAAATCATGAGAGGTAACAAAGAAAGTCAAGGATTAATTTATTCCACAGGTATGAACACCTTACCCTTTCCATTTGCCATTTTGTTGAAGATATAGCTCCGCAGTCGCCCAGAAACATCCTCTGAGTTAGTGCTGAGACCATTCTTCACAGCTTGGAATCCGTACAGCACCACCACACGTTTGTGACCCATCCACATGGTACAGATGTTGCCATAGGTTTTTGCCAGCTGCAGGTTAGATCAATGCCAAAAAAAAATACCCATGGGAGAAACATACACCAAATTGCATATGATGGGCTGCTCTCTTCCAACACGACAATACTCAGGGGCTCAGGAAGCGAAAAGGGATGGTGGTTTTACTTTGCAGCTGCTGTGCTTACCACAGTAAGGTTCTGGGCTCGGACTAGGAGCCCGCTATTCACAGTATGTGAATGATAAAAGAATAGATGGCTCTTGCCTTTTTTTAAATTTGGATTGTGTTTGTTTTGCAATATTAATGGTGCCTCTGACCGAGTGTTTACAGGTTTCACCTCTGCTTGGCTAATGATGACAACTGCTGTCGGAGAACCCTGTAGATATTCAGCAAGAACACAGCCCCTGACTCTAGGCAAAGAAACAGCACAGCTTTGTCCTCCCACAGTGATAAATATGTACCCATCAGAAAAGTTTAAAATCTTTTAAGCTCATTTTTCCAGAAGCTGACATTCTCCAGCTGCAGCCAGATCACCCCTGATATGCACTTAGCACCTAAGGAAAGGTTGTGACTTGAAAAATGTATTAACACATTGGATTCTTTTGTGAAGTTCTGGCTCAGTGGTAGATGTCGAGCAGTGAAAGAACCTGTGCTAACATGCTTAGCTAATTCTTCCCATCAGTTCCTTCCTTTCACCATTAACGTCATCTGCAATGAGCAGTTCCCAGACTGGACTCCAGAAAAACAATGGAGCTAACGTTTTGGCTGCATATGGGATACAATCTTGTTTCCATCCCATGATAGTAGCAGACATAGTAGTGTGCTTTTCACATCTTCAGAAGAATTGTTTTCACAGATTTTCTGCATGTGACTGTGGTGGGAAATCCAAGAAACACTTTTTTCTTACAAGGCAAAAAGCCTTCCTTAAAAACAGAAGTCTATTTGAGACAAAATTACTGCCCTCAGTTCTGTTTAACTTGCACACGTATTAGCATTCACAGGATTTAGAGTCTCTGCAGATTTGACTTAACTTGTTCAGGCACTTAATTTAACTTCTATGACCCACCTTCCCTCAGGATTAGTTCTCCCTACTACCACATCAGCCTATCAACAGCCATCACTAGTTTTTACAGTTTTTGCCTCAATAGATCTTCAGTTCACATCTGCAAATGCCTACCTTTTTCAGGCTCTGATGATCCGCTCTAAAATTTATCCACCACATGCTTCCAATGATGGGAAATGGAGTCGGTCCAGGAGGAAATCCACGACTTTTCCATTGCATTTTCAGGAACTGCGCACCCAGAAGAAACAAAATCACAGAAATTAGAATTGCACTTATCATAATTTCACACCTCCAAACTACTCTACGCTGAGAAAACTGCTGAGAAACTGTTGAAATGACTCGGTATTATTCTTCTTAACTCTCCTCCATCATATTTAAGGTTTCTGAATTATTCTCCCCACTTCCTTCCCACCACTCTTCCTGATCCCAGAAAATGGGAGTGTTTCCATTCTTGAGTGTATTTAATACATCACTATGCTGCAATATGCTAATAGCTACCATCACTTCCAGGAGATGCAGACTGGGGAATCAAGAGCAAGGCAATGTTGCAACCTCAGTTTTCACAGTAAACAGCACAGATGGACTGCAAATGGCACAGGAAAGACTCCAATGTAGCTAATGCTATTGGAAAAAAAAAAAAAGAAACAAAAGAAAAAAAAAGAAAGAAGAATACCAGATCTCACGTCTCAGGAGACACCACTGAAAGATTCCGAGGATTCTGGTGGAATAAAAATCTTCTTCTACTCACCACCGGCCTGGCTGCACCCCAGTCTGTGCTTTTCACAGCACCTGAAGGTTTGCATACAAAGATCTCCTCAACACAATAAACTAAAAATGGGAGCAGTTCTTAGAAAATTTCTTGAATGAAGCTGGTGGAATAGGCTGTTCAGGATGTTGGTACCAAGTTGCCTTGTGAAGAACAGCACAGACCTTGTAAGAATGAGGCTGCACAGTGCTCTCCAGAAGATATTTTGTGTTGGCTTGTTTAACTCCATCAGGCAGGGTCAATCTAAACGTCTGCAAAAGGCTGCAGAGGATGAAGAGCTCCACGCACGCCAGCTGCTCACCCAGAAATATACACAGTCCTGCAGAAAGGACCTGAAAAGGCAATTATTGATCTTAATTGCTGCCCTCCACCATGCCCCTTGCTGTCTTGCCCTGCACTTTCTCTGAGGTTGCTGCTTCTCATCAGAGCAGAGATGTCCCTGCAGGCTGTCATTCTCTCTCTTGCTGTCTAAACAAAACTCAACCCATCCTTGCAACTCCACTTGCATAATGCATTGGAGTTAATTATTAGATGGCAGAAAGGACATCAGGCACATTTCGAAAGACGGTTTCACATTTTATTCCAACTGTGTTCTTCAGTAGCATTCAAGGTACATATCTCCAGCCCTGCTGAAAAGGGTAAGATAACTTAATTGGAGAAAAAAGAATTCCTTCTTCATGCAGAAATTGACCACAGTTGGACTCCTGAGGTTTCTTCCAGTGCTCAGAAATCCATGAGGACAGCATATATTTCCAACAGCCATACTGCCCTGCAAGAAAGGAGGGGCTGATCCTAAGCTGTCTTTTAATCTCTCTGCCTGGCAAGGCCATCAACACAAAGAGAAACAGAAAAAAACCTCAGGTTTTATATACTGCACTGAGCAGAAGGATATGTAACATATTGGCACACTGCTTTTCCTTGAATATTCCTTCTCTTGTTTACTAACCAAGATTGATAATCTCTTCATGGCTTGCAAGCAGCACTGCAACAAAGCAACATTCTGGTTTTCTCCTTTCATCTTGAATTGCTGCTGGTCAGGCATCACAGGCAATTTTGATACCAGATTTATAATGCAGAGGGATATACAATCAACAGCTTCATAAAAGTGTTCAGATGTGCTCTATGTGCTATATTTGACAACGTTTGTTGCCACATCTGGAAGACTTTAAAATGAAACACCTTGTCTGAAACAACTCACAACTTTCTAATGACTTCTCACTTGCGATCAGGTTTCTATTTCTGTAAACACAGTTGAAGCTTTGCACGCTTTGGCCCTGTGGCTCAGTCCATGAAGTTTTAGCTGCACAACAGCCAGACATTTGGTGGGGCGCTGTCACACTGTTGAAAATGGATTCCGTCTTTTCCAATCCTGGTCAACCAGCAACTCTGCAGTGTTTCAGCCTGGGCTGCTTCCTGACTAGGACCATGAGCAGAACGAGCATTGTCTTTCCAGTCTCAACACACAAACAGCTGAACATTTCTCAGCTAGCATTGTAGAACTCACGGTTACTGTTTCCTTTTCAAGAAGAAAGGGAACTCTAATACCTGTATCAGCAAGTCTTATCTCAAATTTTCTGTTCTGTCCATGACTTCTGATGTTCCAAGTGAAATATCTAGGCTACTAAAAAGAACACTGAAGCTGCAAATACTCAGACATTAGGAAACGTCATAAATAAGTTCATCTGCACAACACTAATTACTTCTTCCTGATGCTTCTGCAAGAAGAGGGTAACTGACTTGATGTACCACGGTTTAGCCCATGAAACTCTTGTCTCTCTCCAACTCCTTTGCAGGTGACCACAGAGGGCTGTCAAGGCTGTACAACATGTCACAAACCAGCAACACTGCAAGGGCACTCAACTTCTGCAGGCCCCACACCATTAGGATATAGAGTGCCACAGCACCTGGGCAAGGTCTGCGTTGCTTCCACCTCAGTAGCACTGCATTACCAAAAAAAAACAAAAACAAACAAACAAAAAAAAACCCAAAAAACCAAAACAAAAGGCAATGGAAAAACATAGTAGCACTGCATTACCAAAAAAACCAAAACCAAACAAACAAAAAAAAACCAAAAAAACCAAAACAAAAGGCAATGGAAAAACAAAATATGAGGAACGCTTACAACAATGACTTTTCTCCCTAGTGGCTCTAGCTTTTACTAATCCTGCTCTCATTGCCTATCAGTGATGCACAAACTCAGTTAATGTGCACAAATTGTGAATGAAGGACCAAAATACAAATAAAGTAATGCTGAGATCAAGCAGGGATAGGCAGGTGTTTACAGAGAAGCTATCTGCATGTTGGTTATTTTGGGGAAAATTAGTTTTCCTTGTTCCAATATCTTCACTGTATGTGAGCAGCATCTCTCCATACAAGCCTTGCTTCTCTGACAAATACTATGGCAAGTGCTCACGAGCAGAGATGACAGATGTTTTGTCAGCTCAGAAAACCTTCCTTTTTAATGAAGGTTTCAGGCCATAGGATTAGGAAGAAAATGCAGGGGACGAGGAAAGAACAGATCAGAAACAATCATAGCTACCATCCACCTTTTTGCTTTCACTAGCCAGTCTTAAAGCTCTCTAGAAAAGCGAACGTCAGGGTTGATTGGGCCCAGAAAGATAAAGTTTTTTCCTAAGAGTCACAGACAAGCTATGAACAAATCTAGGAACAGAATGTGAAGTTGCAAAATTCTGTTCCAGTACTTCATCTATGCAACCTAAACAGCTCATCAACGCTCAGGTCCCAACAACAGAGATGACAGTAGGATGCAAAAATCTATCCTGTTTATTTGTAATGCATGAAAGTAAAGCTATCTTTTCAAGAACTGAACAGAAACACAGAATGGGAACTTGTTTTGCTCACATTTCCCCATCTCGTGTTCACTCTAGTTCTGCGCTCTAAGCAACATGCTTGCCTGAACATACTGTGTCTACGTAATTCTCTTCCCATCAAGAAATTCTGATGCCACCAACCAATTAACAGCTTTTGTTATGAAGCTCTTGAAAGACCAGGAGGTGAAGGGAAGGAAGGAACAGCTAAGTTGAGAAATTCAAATTAGTGTTTTCACCAAAAACAAAACAAAACAAAAACCTGCTTAGCAATTGTCTGCTCTGAGAAGCTTGACACCAGGCCAGGCAGCAAGCACGCACCACAGTGCAAAGCAATACCTGCACAACACAGAGCCAGTCAATTTTTAACACACTCTGAGACTGTCTCTGCAACAGAAAAGAAACAAACTCTGTATTTATGGCATAGCAGAAGACACATCCAATGGGCAGAGGCGTACTAGGAACCCTGCCACCCCCAACACGCCACACTGATCATTTGTTTGCTTCATACCTTTGTGAAGACGCTGTTCTCTCCTTGTCCTCTGCAGTTGTTGCATTTGCTTCCCACTCCCAGGGCCTGCAACCTTCATTACAAAAGCAGATTTCCTCATCTGTTCCAAACAACCCAACTTAACATCTTGGCTGGTGAGCTCCTGCAATATTATTTGTGTCAGAGGAAAGCGAGTGAACATTTATGCAAAGAATTACTGCTGACATATACTGAAAATATTAAAATAAGGAGCACTGAATTCTTCTGAACCAGCTTCCTTGCTTTTCCCCTCCCTGTGAACTTCAGCCTAAGCATTTCCAAGATAACTTTGCCCTGCTGTACTTCAGCC